TAATCTTTTTTAACTGGTTGTTCCAACTCTAGACTGGTTGACTAAAATCCATCTTGAAGGGCCTGGGATATAGCTTAGTGGCACAGTGCCTGCCTGGCAAGTACAAGGTCTTGAGTTCCAGTTCTGCTACCAAAAAAAAAAAAAAAAAAATCATCCCGACCAATCTCATCAGAACCCTGTTCTAGTGCCTTGCTGCTTCCCAAAATAGTAACTTTTTTTTTTTTTTTTTGGATGAGACAGGGTCTCCCTAAATAGTGTAGGCTGGCCTCAAACTCCCAGTGATCCTTCTGTCTCAACCTCCGTAGTGCTGCGATTATAGGAGTGTGCCACCATGCCTGGCTTACAACTTGAAATTAATGTACAGTTTCCACACACACCCTCTACTGTCCATCCTTAAGTGACTGTAGATAAAAACAACCCTAAGCCTGCAGAAATCCAAGAGCTTCAGACCTGCAAAAGTACAGAAATAGTGGCTGGTCTGACTCTGGAGGGAAGCTGAAGAAAAATACCTCAGTCTAAGGTTATAGGATGAAAATGACAGAAAACAAGATGGGTGTGGGGCACATGCCTATAACCCCAACACTGTGGGAGGCTGAAGCACAAGGATCTACAGTTCAAGTGCAGCCTGGGTAACTCAGCAAGATCCTGTCAAAATAAATAAAATAAAAGTAAAGAACTGCAGACAGGTTCAATCCACAATAATGGGAGGAAAACAAAAGTCAAAATGGAGCAAGATCTGTGACAGAATTCAGCAGCAGTGTTTGCCTAGCATGAGCCAGACCGCAGGCTCCCTCATCAGCAGGGCGCATGTGCACAAGCTCCCCAGCCGGAGACCACAGAACCTAGTTATGAATAAATAGGTAACTGTAGGTACCTTCAGAATTTGAGGATTAGGAGTTTTTGAACTTTAACAATTTCTGAGCTGAGTGTGAGGACACACACCTATAAGCCCAGAGGCTGAGGCAGGTGGATCCTCCTAAATTAAAGGCCAGCCTAAACTATATAATATAGAAGACTGCCTCAAAAAATCAAAATAATAATAATAAAGAAAGATTCAAGTCAATGTATTAAGTAAGAGTAAAATGAACCATTTGTGAAAGTAACCTACCCTACCAGGTGTGGTAGTGCACACTTGTAATCTCAGCATTCAGGAGGATCACTCTGAGTTTGAGGCCAACCTGGGCTATACCGGGAGACCCTGTCTCAAAAAATAAAACAAAACAAAAAAGAAAGTAACTTACCCTAAGAAATGCTACAAATATAGCTAAAAGTATTAGGAAATATCCAAATACAATTAGTGTCATCAGGAAGTTAAATTTCTGTAATACATTTTGATGTAAAAAAAGGCAAAGTACTACCTAACCAGTGTAATACATGTAAAGCCTCCAAATTAGGAAATAATTCTCTATTTTCTTTCTTTTTTCCATTACCGGGAATGAAACTCATGACCTTGTGCTTGCCAGACAAGTGCTGCGCCGTTGAGCTATATCCCCGGCCCAGGAAATAATTCTAACCACAAAGGAATACTTCATTTTTCGGTATTAGTGTGTTTGTAAATATTACCTATAACCCTTCAAGATGTATTTCTTTTAATTTAACTTGCTCACTAAGTAACTTCTGATCATCATTTTTGTCTACTTTGGTTCCCTGATTTATAGACATGATCACTTTGGCTCAAAAAAGTATAATTCAAGCCAAACATGGTTGTACATGCCTGTAAATCTAGCACTTGAGAGGCTGAGGCAGGAAGATTGTGAGTTCAAGGCCAATCTGAACTACAGAGTGAGGCCCTGAGTCAAAACAAAACAGGTACACATAGTCTATACCAGTGGTGGTGGACCTATAGCACATGTGCCAGAGCCTGCCATTTATTATCACTGAAAGCTCTAAAAGGTTCGCCATCACTGGTCTGTCCTGAAAACCTTGGCATGGAAAAAAACTCCACCCTACAGCAGGCAGCTGAGTGCATTCTAATTGCTCAACCATCACACAGCATTTCCAGCAAAATCTCTGGATACTGCAGTATTAGGTTTCTCCTGGGAGGACAGGCATGTGCCACCACGCCTGGCCTAAATTCTTTTTGAGCAAAAACAAATACTACCTATCTACTACATACCAGGCTCTGTTCTAGGTGCTGGGAACACACCACTCAACAAAAAGCAAAAATCCAAGACCCTATGGAGTTTCATTCTAATTTGAGTGAGATAAAAATATTTAAAAACTAGGAAATCATAGAATATGCTGCTAAAAGGTAGTACATGCTAGGAGAACATAAAGCTGGATAAAAGGTCATGTCAGAGAGAGTGGTCTGTGATTCTGAACAGGGTGTTTAAAATAGCATCATTGAAATGAAATTTTAGCGAACACCTAAAAGAGACTGCCTCCTAGGTAGGTGCAAAACAGTTCCACAGTTCCAGGATGAATTTGGCTAAGTTGTTTAAGTCTCTGTCTTAGCTTCCTCAGCCATAAAAACAAAAAACAAAAACTTAAATCTCACAAGATTATGAAGACCTAGGTAGTATTTGTGTAATTCTTTTTTTTTTTTGGCGGTATGGGGGATCAAACTCACGACCTTGCGCTTGCCAGGCAGGTGCTTATGCCACTGAGCTATATCCCCAGCCTGTGTATAATTCTTATAACACATTAAGCACTGTGACTTGAGGATTCTTTGGTTTGTTTTTTTATTTAAAAATATAAAATCTGGGGCTGGGGATATAGCTCAGTGGCACAAGCACCTGCCTGGCAAGCACAAGGTCCTGATACCAAAAAGAAGAAGAAAAAAAAGACAATAAAAATATAAAATCTGGCAAAAGGCACGTGTCCTGTAGATATCAGGGAAGAGTGTTCCTGATAGAGGGGGACCAAATATAAAGGTCTTGGTATTGAAGGGGCAGCTAAGCTAGTGGCTAGAAAGGGAGTGAGTTTTGCCAAGAGACAGCTATCATTATAGTGATAAAGGAAGATGACCAGAGGGGGTGGGGCTGCTTCCAAACTCTTAGAACCGGGAATCGTTAGAATTTTTGAGCAGAGGAGGGATCAACTGCTTTGACTTTTTAAAAGAATGACTGCATTTAAAACTGACTGTTGGAAGACAGGCACGATATACACATGTAGTGGTGTAAAAAAAAAAAAAAAAAAAGGTGCCCAGTCAAAAAATCTATTTTAATAACCTAGGCAAGAGATAAGGCAACAAGGGCAGCAATGGAGACACAGGAACTGGCTGGACTCTGAATACGTTTTGGAAACAGAGCCAACAGAATTTGTTCATGTACTGGATATGAGGAGTCAAGAGAGAATCTAACTTCAGGAAAGATAAGAGTGGCCGGGGCTGGGGATTTAGCTCAGCGGCAAAAGCGCCTGCCCGGCAAGCGCAAGGTCGTGAGTTCGGTTCCCGGTACCGGAGAAAAACCAAAAAAAAAAAAAAAAGAAAGATAAGAGTGGCCATTAATTAAGATCAAAGAAGACCTAAAGAGCTAAAAATGCCCAAGTCCTAACTATATATAATCAAGTGCTCAGTTAATCTTACATGTACGGTCACATTTAATGCACACTACCCATGTGGTGGGTGTGGCCCAAGTAACAAGTGGAGAAAGCTGCTGATTACTGGTAAGCTTGGTAAGATGAGATGCTAAATAAACTAACAGTCATCTGCAGGGCTGATGTACCTAACCAGTATGCAATGGATGTCATCACATGGTCACAGAATCTAGCGTTGCCCTTAAAAAAATAAACATTCAGTAAATACTTGAAAGTAGCTTTTCTGATCACAGGTACATAGGTCAGACAGGAATTGAGTTCAGCACAGAATTGTGTGGCCATTCCAGAGCTCTGCCATTTCCTACACCCAACTGAGAAGTCTTTTTTCTCTTTTTGAGGCAGAGTCTCGTTACGTAATATAGGTTGGCCTTGAAATCAAGGTGATCCTCCTGAGTACTGGGATTACCGGCATGTGCCACGACCCCTGGCGAGAAACAAGTCTTGAAAGTCAGGAAACTGCTTTTCAATTCAGAATCGTAATTTCAGATGGAAGGGACTAGTCTTCCAACCTATTCCTCTTGGAGGAGAAGCGACCAATTATAGCATTTCCACAAACGATACTACTTTCATCTAGTGATCATAACGCAAGGTCACGACACAAGACAAAGTCTGTCTGCAACAGGAGACTCTACCATCACTGACACTGCGCGCCTCCCCTGACAGATTCCTAACCCTTGTCTCCAGTCCTGTCTTTCCTGCGCAGTATCTACCCTCCAATCCAACTGTACTATCTGCTGATGAACTTCAGCGCTGCTTCCTCAACTTCTGCAACCTTTTATGAACGCCGTCCCCTCCACCCATGGCTCCCGAAACAGCCAGGGTGGTGAGGCGGGTGGGAGCGTCCTCTCTCTGCCTTAACTGCTCATCAAAACTCCCACGTGTACCCGCGACTGTAAGAAGCACTTCCTGCAGGCTTCCGCCTCTCGAAACCCTCCGCTATCGTCACTGCAACTGCATCACGGTTCAGCAGGCAGGATCCGGGAGGCAGAAAACCTACGTTCCAATTTTAGACCTACCACTCAAGGGTTACTCCGTGAATCTGTCTTTCTGTCACACAAACGCTGTCACTATGCATTCTCAAAGGCTCAAGGGAAGAAAGTGTGCACAGACGCCAGTCCTCGGCCCTACGCATTATGCAACCGGGGATTCTCCGCGCCCCGGTAACAGCCGCTCTGGACCGCAGCTGGAGGTCAGACAGCCGCCCGCGGTCTGTCCTGCGGTGGACGATGCGCGCGGCCAGCGGTCAGCCAGGCGCACAGCAACGCTCGGGGAACCCGGGTGCGGCAGGCAGGCAGCCAGCAGCCAGCAGCCAACACCCGCACCCCGCCCGGCCATGCCGCTTCCAGCGGGCGGCTGGGCTCCCGGCGCAGGAGGAGGGAGCCGCCCGGGTCTCCCGGCCCGGGGAGCCTTTCCCTCCCCTCGGCTCCGCTACCCCTTCCCGGCCCGGTCCGGCCCGGACTCACCCGCTTCGCGGCCGCAGAGACGGCGGCTCTTTCCGAGCGGCGCCGCCTCCGTCCCATCTGCTCCAGGCTGAGAAACTCGCTAGACAGGTCGAGGGAGTCCGAGGACGAGGCGGCGGAGCGGCTGTGCAGCTCCAGGCTGCTGCGGAGCACCACCATCGCGCTGCCCGCGCCCGGCGCGTCCGCGCGCTCCGCAGCCCGGGCCGGCCTTCCCCGCGCTTCCCTCTTCCCGCTTCCGCGCTCCGAATTCTGGCGCCACGGGCTCCGTGCCGGGCCGAAGCGCGCGCCCAGAATCCCTCCGCCGCGCGGCCTCCCGCGTCGCCCGGGGCGCCGGGCTCGACGCCGTCCTCCGCTACGAGGCGCCCAAGTGCCGAGAAGGCCACGCCGACGCGGACTAGAACACGCGCTGACTGAGCCGGGAGCCCAGCGGGTCTTGGAGCGAAAACGCGTTTTTTCCTTATGTAGTTCCGGCCCGCTGAGCTCGGCGGAGGGACACGGCGTGGGCCGCGCGAAGTCCCGTTTGGAATTTTGGCGCGGGACGGCGGGGCGGGGGGAGGCGCCCGCTCTCTGATTGGCTGGCGGCCCTGGCGGCCCCGCCCCGCCCCTCCGGCACCTGCCCACCGCTTCCCGCCATCCAGGATTCAAATGTAGAACGCCCAGTTCCGGGCCGGCCTCTCAGGAAGTACTTAGCCTTCGGCAGGTTTTTCTTTGAGCCAGCTTGCAGAGGTTTCGCCGATTATTGAACTGAAATAAGTTCATCATTCAAAAGAAAGAACACAAGACGAGCTCAGGGTCAGTAGAGCAGCGACGCGGGGTCTGTACCCAGCTCTGCCACATGATCTGGAGCAAATCATTCACTTCTCCGGTGCTAATTCCCTCCTCTGAAAGATAACTGTAATAATAAAACCTGAAATCCTAAAATGCCATTGTTAGATCTTACTACCGACACTGCTCGTGCCAAGACCCAAGTGAATGTTACATCGCAGGATTACAGAAAACGGCTTCTCCTGGGTGACAGCAGTCACTTGAATATTTTGCTACGTGATCAGACTAGAAGAGTCCTAGTGAAACAGAAACAAAGCCTACTTATTGACCTGGACTTAATAACTACGGCTTATTTTTTTTTTGGCACCAGGAATCGAACTCACAAACTTGCGCTTGCTGGGCAAGTGCTGTGCCGCCCAGCTATATCCCCAGCTGGGCTTATTAATTCAACATGTATTAAACATTTATTGAGCATCTATTGACTCCGGTATTATCCTAAGCACTGAGAATCACAAAAAATGCTCTCGTGGACTTTACATTCTAGTGGAAGGAGAAAGAATATGCTGAATTCAGTGAATGTGCTGACTGAGGTGGTCAAGTGTTACAGAGAAACAGAGAAGAAGGAGAGAACAGTGCAACTCTAAATAGGGTGGTCAGAGACATCCTCCGTGAGAACTCTGAAAAGCACCAGAGAGGAGGGGGGCTCTATCTAGGAAAATGAGGCAGGCAGAAGGAAGCTGAGGACTCGGAGAACAAAACTCCCGCTTCCTGGAACTTACATGTGAAGGGCAGGATGTCGATAAACAAGAAAATGAATAAACAAGGTAACTTCAGCAAAGCAAGTAGGATGAAGAAAATAAATCTGGGTTTTGCCTATTCATTTTTAATAAAAATTCTCAGTGTAGCCAGATGTGATGGCACGCGCCTGCAATCGCAGCACCCAGGAGGAGGCTGAGGCAAGAGGCTCATGAGTTTGAAGGCAACCTAGGCCACATAGTGAGTTCAAGGCAAGCCTGAACTACATACTTGGACCCTGTCTAAAACAAGCAGACAGGGGCCGGAGATTCAGCTCAGTTGTACAGTGCCTGCCTGGCAAGTGCCAGGTCCGGAGTTAGATTCCTGACATGAAAATAAATAAATAAATAAATAATAAAAACAAAAGCAGACAAGCAAAACTGAAAAAAAAATCCTTAATAGAGTGTTGAGGGATGGGTCTATTTCTTAAAGATGATGTAGCAATGTTTAAAACCTTTAGCCCAGGAATTGCACTTCTAGGACTCCATCCTAAAGCAATAATCATAGGCATGGACCAAGTTTTATGTACAAAGATGTTGATTTACTTACAGTAGCAGCCTTACTTACAATAGCATAGGATCTGAAAGCAAACTAATTGTCCAGTAGTGGGGAAAATTTAAGTGAGAATAATCTCCCCACACATAGCTGTTTAGGTTAATATTGATGTTTGATTTTTAAAAGTGTTTTAAATATTAAAATGTCTTAGAGTAACATAGTACATGCTAAAGAACAAAATACCCCCCCAAACCCACAAGAGCACAGAAGTGTAAAAATAAAGATATTAGCTGGGCATAGTGGCACATACCTGTAAGTCCAGCTACTCTGGAGGCTGAGGCAGGAAGATCATAAGTTTGAGTCCAGCCTGGGCAATTTAGCAAAACCCTGTCTAAAGATAAAAAAATAAAATGAGCTGGGGATATAGTTCAGTGGTAGAGCACCCCCAGGTTTGATCTCCAATACTGCAAACGCGTACTAAAAAACCAAAGGCACAAGTCATTCTGTGTGATTACTAGAAGGAAAAAGCAGCTTTCTGTTCCACTCAGGTTCCTGAGCCTAGAAAATATGAATGCGGGGCTTCCTATGGCTGCCTGAGCCTGGTGTGAGAGTGAAGCCAAGCACTGTGGAGCAGCGTTGGAGACGGTGAGAAAGAAGGGCTGGGACATGGCCCTGGCTCTGGTCGCTTATGAGCTGCAGCTCCTCCTTTTCAGTCTCTGCTGTTACATGAAACAATGGCAGCCTTTCTGCCTTATCTTTGGAATGATGGGTCATGACTAATACAGCTGGGCTAGCTGCTTTGCTAAAATCAAGATATAATGAGTTGTAAACCTCTGTCAATTAATTCTTTTTCTTTTTTGGGGGGGGCGGGTTCTGGTACTAGGAATTGAACTCACGACCTTGCGCTTGCCAGGTAGGCACTGTGCCACCGAGCTAAATCCCCAGCCCCAATTAATTCTTAAAAGATAATTAATTTAATAGATTTATGGTAAGTCACATTTTTTTCTTAGTCACAAATGGTTATGGGAATGACACGAAGCTTATCAAGGTACAGTGGCATTTGTAATATATGTTTTTTTTCCTATTATGAAACTCAAGACTCAAATATTTGTATTTAATATTTTTGTTCTTTGAAAAAGGATCTTGCTATGTAGTTTAGACTGGTCTTGAACTCACAGTGATCCACCTGCCTCTGCCTTCTGAGGGCTGGGATTATAGGCATGTGTCATCATGCCCAGCTATATTTAATCTTACGTCCTCTCCTCGAACATATTTTGCAAAGATCATTTTTTGGAGGACACTGGGAATCAAACTCAGGACCTTGCCCTTGCCAGGCAGGCCCTTGTGCCACTGAGCTCTATCCCTGGCCCCTACAAAGATCATTAAGAGATGCTTTAGGGTCATACCGTAAAGCTCTTTCAGTATTCTAGCATGTAAGTCCAGACCCAAAGACTTTTAACCCATGTAAGACAATTTAGTGCTTTCTATTGCTGCACTGACCTTCGCCTTTAATTTTCTTCTGACTGTTATTTTACTTATTTTTTTTGCAGCTTGTGCATCATTTTTCTTTGATGGAGAAAATGCAAGTTACAATAGGCTCTGGATATTTCTGTTTTCTTTCAGTTGTCTGATAACAGAATATAGCACAGGCCCAGCCAATGGGCTTATCTCTTTCTTTTTCTTCTTGTTCTTAATATTGAGTATTAACAATACTCCCTTAGGGGCCAGCTAGGCACTGTGCCTAGCTCAGGGGCATAGTGCCTGCCTGGCAAGTGAAAGGTCCTGAGTCCAATTCCTGGTACCAAAAAAAAAAAAAATACTCCTTCAGGAAAAGATTAAAAAAAACATGTTTTAAGACTGGAGTGTAGGGCTGGGGATATAGGTCAGTGGCATAAGTGCCTGCCTGGCAAGCGCAAGGTTGTGAGTTCAATCCCTGGTACCGCGCAAAAAAAAAAAAAAAAAAAAAAAAAAAAAGACTGGAGTGTACTGGTGTAGACTTATTGAACTTCCCCTTACATGCCTGTGGCCTTTCTCATACCTTCCCTTGTTAGATGTCCCTCCAAATTCCTATTTCTAACATTCTAATCTCATTGGATACTACACTCTGAGTGTATCTTTTATTTCTTTATAATCCAGATCATTGGAGTTTGTAGATTAGAATCTGGTTCTAGGCAGTTCTTACTACTCTGAAGCCATATCTCTTTTTATATGTTTGCACTATAAGATCATATGTAGTTTTCCCTATGATCTATTGTTTTTCCAATTACAGAGAATAACTCCTACTTATAAGGGAAAGTTTAAAAGCAAAACAAAAAGTACTGTGTGATGTAGCTGAGTGTGATGGCATACACCTGCAGTCTCAGCACTTGGGAGGCTCAGGCAGGAGAACTGTCACGACTTCAAGGCCTGCCGGGGCTACGTAATGAGTTCATGGTCAGCCTGAACTGCATAGTGTCTATAAGGTGACCTCACCCCTCATTCCCATAAAATGCCTACCCGAGTAAACTAAATCCTGCCAGGGAATGTTACTGATTGCTCTTGTTAACTAACTATAGCCCCTTACCTCCTCCTCTTAGAGCAATTACTAGAAAGGATATATATATATATATATATATTTATTTATGACGAAAGTATAACTCTAAGATAGAAGGAATCTCTAAACTGTACCCGCAACTCTACCTTTTAAAGACCAAGTGCCAAACTGCAACCCGAAACCCACTTATTTATCAAAAGTGGCAACACTGCAATTAAACCTGAATACTGAGGTTTTTAGTTTAGAAAAAACAATTCATATATTAACATCTTTTGTCTTAAAAGAAAAACACAGTAACACATGTGCATAGGTTCACCACCACTGCCCTCTATGGTACCTAAGGCCAAAGAAGAGTACCCAGGGCCTGGAATGGGGGTGCACACCTGTAATCCCAGCACTCAGGAGGCTGAGGCAGGAGGATTTTTGCGAGTTCGAGACCAGCCTGTGCTATAAAGTGAGCTCAAGGCCAGCCTGTCTCAAAAATAAAATAAAATTAAATTAAAAAAAATTAAGAAAGAGTACCCAGAGAAGGACAAATCTGAAACAAGCTCAGAGGCCCTAGATGATGGAGTGGGCTGTCTCCCAGATCACCAGAGACCTATGCTGGTTTAAAGACAGTGAGGTGGTCTGAAGCTGCCTGGCAAAAAGCAGCACGTGGGGAGCAGTCAGAAATCCAGAGTAGGCCTAGGCAAGGGGAAGTTCAGGAAGCAGCAGAGTCAGAGGCCCTTAGAGGGCATGGGGAAAGTGAAGATAGGAGGGTAGAGGGCTGAGAAAGGGCTATCCGCAGGCTACAGCTGCAAAAGCGGGCCTGCGGCTGGAGCTCACTGGGCTCGGGGTTCTCTGGATCACACCCTCAGCTCTGGTCCCTTCTAGAAACTGCAGGATGCTTCTCACACCCCTTCTGCATCGCCCAGCACTCTGCTAGAAGGCTTAACCTCACATTCACTTTAAAGGGCAGATTTAATGGAACTGTTATTTACCATAGAACCTAAAATGAAGTGTGTATTCAGGATGGAGGCAATACATTGATAACTGAGACAAGGGCTCACACTCAAGTCTTCAGGATTTATGGGCTTTGGGACTCTCGTGGTTGAATCTGACTGTGTGTGGCCTATAAACTAAACTAAGAATTTCAGATTTTACAACGGGAAGTTCCCTGTCACTTACACGTGTCCATCGCAAATAAAGACAATTCACAAAGTTATAGAGTATTCAATGTCCATCAGTCACAGAGACACTGTTTAACAATTTCCAGGCTGCCAGCAAATAAACATATGATTAACACAAAAAGAAATACTATACAGACTCTTAAAACTTTTTTGCTTATTCTATTAAAGAGTCAGTAAATCTTTCGGAGCCAGTGTACGCAGATCTCCGAATTTTAAAAATTTAGTTAGACTATGATGAGATTTGCTGTGCGATTAAAATTGGGTACTTGAAAATAAATAAATAAATAAGTAAAATTGGATGCTTGGATCCCTCGCCCCACTTCCGGGGCCCCAAGGCGTCGATTTTCACAGACAAGCTTCTCACCTGGTTCCTCCACAGCTGGCAGGCAGCCCGGTAGGAGGAGTCTCTGAGCTCGTCCCAGGCGCCCCCGGGCCCCGCGGCCGCAACTCCGAGCCGCTCCTAACTCCTCCTCTGCTGCCTGCAGACACCCCCCCACCCCGCACCTGTTGTCTGCGCCCTCACTTCCTCGCGCCGCCGCCGGCCCTGCCCTGGGCTCCGCCCACCATGGCGTGCAGTCAGACCACGCCCCCTAGAGGGTCACCCGAGAGCTGTGTTCCGCCCACCTGGAGCTACACATACAACACTGCCCGGGCCCCGCCTACCAGGGCAAGCGCTGCGGGCCCCGCCCCCTTCGGGGGTCTCCCACCAGGATACCCCGGAACTACGCATCCTCCGAGTTCCGGGCCCCGCCCCCAAGAGCTCTCATTTGCTTACGTCACACCGGATCCGCCCCTTTACCCTGGCTCCACCCCCTCGCCTCCCGAACCGCGGAGAACTTGCCCCGCCCACTCGGCCCCCGCCCCGGTCCCGCCGCGCCACCCGGAAGCTGCTCCAGCCGCTCCAGGCTCCGCCCCGCACGCGGAGCGGTCCGAGCGCTTCTGCACCGGCGAGGTTCGCGCCCTGGCTCGGCCATGCAGGAGGATCCTTCCCTCGCTGCCCCGTGCTACCAGCCCGCCTGCCCTACGAGGGCCGCGTGTGTCTACAGCAGCTGCTACTGGTGAGGGTCGCGGGCGCAGCCTCTTCCTCGCCCCGCTGCGCCGCAGGCCTGGACGGCGGGCCGTGGGCTCGGGAGCGGAGCGGTGGGGTCGGTGCTTGCCTCCGCCTCGCGCTGCTAGGCTGGACCTGCTCTGCGAGTCTCAGAGCTCGGAAGCGAGGAAGGGCGGAAAATTCTGTAGACCTGTGATTTCAGGTTGAGATGCGAGTCATTTTAATTTTGGTAGAGAAGGGAGGCAGACTTTGAGGGTATATTCCCAAGGCGCCCAGCTAACAGCAGTCAGGAATCCAATTCAGGCCCTGTAGCCCCGGATACATGATGTTAACCACTGCTGTCGTAAGGATGGTTACATTTGTACAGCACTGGCCCCGTGCCAGGTGTCGTTCAGGATGGCTTAGGTTGGCTACCTCACTTGCGCTCCCAGCATCCCTAAAAGGCAGGTAGGGACTGTTGGGATTCCCATTTGAAAGATGCGAACACCGAAGCACAGAGGGATGCATGTAATTTGCTCAAGGCCTCAAGCTTGTGTGACTGCATGGGGATTTACAGACCCCTCTGCCCTACACTTCCCCTGCAGGCGAAGTACTACTCTGCCTTGGTCCTCTTCTCTCGCACAGCTCCCCTCCCCTTCCCTGGATAATGACTTCTTTCCCCGCAGAGAGAAACCTCAGGACCTTGTCATCCATCCTCCTCTTCTGCTGCTCATTACACCAGTGCCAATAACAGTTTAACATTTGCTCGGCTTTGATCACCTATCAGGCCCCTCGCCAAGTGCTTCCACCCGTACCTAGGAGACAGGTTCTATGAATGTTATTGACCTTACTTTGCTAATGAAAAGCCGTGGGACGGTTATGTTTGCCCAAGATCTGACCCCTACTGTGTGGCGGTGCTGAGGATCGTTTTCAACTGCTGCATTGTATTTCTGCCTTGCCTGTCTCCTAAATTGGGGGTGGTGAACCTATGGGGCACATGCTGCAGGCTGCCACAGCTGCCACAGGCTATTTGTTATCTTTAGAAGCTTTAAAAAGATTGCCATCACCATCCTAAAGCTTTTCAATTTGTGGCTCTCACGTCCATTCATTGTTTCCCTACTCATTCAACAGATGTGTTTATTAGGAGTTCCCTACATACACTGTTTGCCCTGTGCTGCAGCAGAAGTCCTAATAAAGTCTCTTTCTTTTTCTTTTTTTTTTTGGTCCGGGGAATCAGACTCAGGACTTTGCGCTTGCCAGGCGGGTGTTTGTGCCGCTGAGCTGTATCCCTGGCCCTGAAGTCTCTTTCAGATGAACAAAACACACCATTTTTATTTGGATTGTGTGGTGCACTAGGGATATAGCAGGGATTGAAACTAACTTCTCTGGTAAGATCTCATAGTTCCTACCTTTCGATGAAAGCAGAAACAAGTAAACCCCTGGTAGGCGCTGGTAAGTGCTTCGAGAAAGACGTGATGTTGAAAGACTGTGCTCATACTAGTTAGCATATTTAAGGAACGGATCTGCAGAGGTAGTAGAGAGTGGAGCTTTGAGGGTAATGGAGCAAAGTCTTCAGGCATTGGAGGTGGAGGGGAAGGCTCGGAGGACGAAGCAGGACGAGGAGGTGGGTAAGACTGGTGTGATCTGCTGGAAGGTGACAAGAGATGAACATCTGGTTCATAGTTTCTTTTTTAGTTCCTTCAGCTGTGGGTCAGGGTCTCCTCTGCCATCGCAGAGACTATTCCAGTTGCTTTCTTACAGGCCTTTCTCCCTGGCTCTCGTACCCAGTGGAGTCTTTGCCTTTTGCTGATTTTGCACCGCTCAAAACTGCCCTAAGTATGAGTGTACTGGAGAGTCACACTAGAGCTTGTAAAACTTGCAGATCCTAGGGTTCTATCCCAGAGGGTCTGGACATAGCAGTAGCATAGTGTATGAGCTGGAGGATGCTCAGCTGCTCACATTGGAGGAGACATAGGCACAGACACAAAGTCTGTTTCCTGATTATTGCAGGCTCTCCTAGATCTGGTCACTGTTCTATTTTTGTTTTGAACAGCCCTTCTCAGTTCTACTTCAGGGTTCCCCTGCCCTGTTAATGTTTTGAGCACAGTCATTATGTGGGGCTGTCCCATGGGCTCCTGGGTGTGTAGCAGCATCCTTGGTGTCTTACTTTCCTTGTCACTGGGATGCAATACCTGACACCCACAACTTAGAGGAAGAAAAGTGTATAGTTGGCCGCAGAGCCGCATGCGGAGGAGGAGGCCGCTCAAGGTGACAGGAAGCAGAGTGAGGGAGGAGCCAGGAAGGGAGAAGGGCACCCTTCCTGGTCACACCCACAGTGACCTCTTTAGACCAGACCCCACCTCCAGCAGCAAGCTCGGTGTGGCTGTAAGCCCCAAGAGTCCAGCCACCTTCCAAAGGCACTGCCTACAGGCGTTTGAGGCTCTTGGGGGACATGCAGATATAAACATAAGACCCAGCCTGTACAGGCTGGACGCTGTAGCACCCCCTCCCGGTTGGCACAACCCAACCTATCTTGAGCCATTGCTTAATGTTCTTTCGGGAGACAGTACCACATGCAGCTGAGAACTAACACCCAACCCTAGCTGAGCACATATGGTAGGTACATCTTGCTGCGATTGCTCCATCATGTTCTTCAAACCTGAAAGAAATGCATCTTCTCTCTTTCTGTTAGCATCTGCCCGATGTTACTTATCTTTTCATGCTCTACTTAATGATAATAATAGTAGTCAGTGTTTGTGTGGGACTGTGTAGGGTTGTTTTCTTTCTTTTTTTTTTTTGCCTAGTTTTTTGTTAGCACATATTTGTTATACGTGATGATCACATTCATCAATGGAAATTTGTACCTGTATATAATATATCTTAATTCTTAATTTTTCCCTTTCCCTCCCTTCAACCCTTCATCCTCTCCCCATTTACAAAATCTTTGTTTCCATTTTTCTCTTCCATTCTCTTTTTTAAAATAACTTTTCCCTTCCCTTCCTTCCCTCTTCCTGCTCCCTTGTTCCCCTTCCCATTTGAACAAGTTCTTCCTACGTCCCTCCCTGTCAAGCCTCCAGTTTGCTCCCCATTTACCCCTTGTGTTTCTCACACAAGAGATACAATGCAATATTTAAGCTTGTGTGTCTGATTTACTGTATTTCACTTAAATTTATGGTCCTTCTTTGTCTTTTTGAGACAGAGTCTTGCTATGCAGTTCGGGCTGGCCTTGAGCTCACTTTGTAGCCCAGTCTGGTCTTGAACTCGCAATGATCCTCCTGCCTCAGCCTCCTGAGTGCTGAGATTGCAGGCATGCTCCACCACACCAGGCAAACTTATGGTTTTCTTTATTTTTTACTTTTATTTTTTAAATACATCTCTAGTTTTTTGTGTTTTTCTTTTTGGTACCGGGAATCGAACTCATGACCTTGCACTTGCCAGGCAGGCGCTGTGCCGGTGAGCTAAGTTCCCAGCCCAAACTTACGGTTTTGAGGTACATCCATCTACCTAAAAATGTCTCAACTTTATCCTTTATGGCAGAATATTCCTTGATTGTATAAAAAACACATTGTCTTTACCCATTCATCTTTTGATGGGCATATGGGCTGTTTGCAAGATTTAGTGATTATAAATTGTGCTGCTGTAAGTATGGATGTGCATATATCACTGTGGTGTGATGCTTTTAATTCTTTCAGGAAGATACCTAGAAGAGGAATAATTGAGTCAAATGGAACCTCTAGTTTTAATTTTTTGAGGAATCTCCACACTGATTTCCATAGTGGTTGCACCAGTCCACACTCCCACCAATGGTGAGGAAGACTTCATTTTTCCCCACAGCCCCTTCAGTATTGTTTTATTTTTTATTTTGTTGCCTTTTTGAGACACAGTCTTGCTATGCAGTTCAGGCTGGTCTTGAGTTCACTTTGTAGCCCAGGCTGGCCTCAAACTTGCAGCAGTCCTCCTGCCTCAGTCTTTTGAGTGCTGGGATTACAGGTGTGTGCCACCACGCCTGGCATCAGTGTTGTTTTAATTTGCATTTCTCAAATAACTAGTGATATTGAAGATTTTATCATATATTTATTTGCTGTTTGTACTTCATCTGAGATGTGTCTGCATTTCAGATGCCTATTTTTTTGATTGGGTCTTTAAATTTGGGGGGGGTCTGATTTTTTGAGTTCTTTATATAGTCTAGATATTAGTCCTTTGAAGAGTAGCTGGTAAAATTTTCTTCCCATTTCTGGGTTATCTCTTCAGTAGTTGGTGGTTTCTTTTGCTGTGCAAAGGCTTTTTAGAATGATGAGATCCACGTTGTTGATTCTTTTCTAATATTTCCTGTGTGATTGGGGTTTTATTCATGAAGTCTTTCTTATACCTGGGCATGTTGCTCATGGCACACAGCTATAATAGAATAGGTAAAACTCTTCAAAAGTACCTGTTCTATTTTCCAGCACACTGAGTGTTTCTGTGTTAATCTTTAGATCTTTGATCCATTTTGATTTTAGTTTATTGCATGGTAAGAGGTATGGATCTAGGATTAATCTTCAGCTTGGGGGCAAAGATTAATTAGTTTTCGCAGGGGAGAAACCAGTTTTCCCTGGACCATTTAGGTTTGTTTATTTGTTTGTTTTGAGGCAGGGCCTCACTAGGTCCAGGCTGGCCTTGAATTTACTATGTAACCCAGGCTGGCCTTGAACTTACAGTGATCCTCCTGTCTCAGCTTCTTGAGTGCTGGGATTATAGCTGTGTGCCATTCCCAACACCATTTATTAAAGAGGCTATCTTTCTTCCAGTGAAGATGGTTGACCTCTTTGTCAAGGAGAAGGTAGCTGCAGGTGTTTAGAGTTGTTTTTGCATCTTCTACTGTGTTCCATTGATCCTTGGGTCAGGGTTTTTTTTTTTTCCAGTACCATGCTGTTTTTTTATGATGGTAGTTTTATTATATAATTTCAAATCAGGGATTGTGATGCCCCCTGCTTTGCTGTTGTTGCCCAGAATAGCTAGAATAACTTTTGCTATTCTAGGTCACTTCTGGTTCTATATGAATTTTATTTTATTTTATTTTATTTATTTTTTGTAGTGCTGGGAATTGAACCAGGGACTTATGCATTCAAGGCAAGAACTCTACCACTGAGTGACATGCCCAGACTCCATATGAATATTAGTATTGTTTTCTTTAGTTCTGTAAGTTGTTGGCATTTTGATTAGGATTGCATTAAAAGTGTATAACAATTTTAGAAGTATGGCCATTTTCAGGGGCTGGGGATTTAGCTCAGCGGCAAAGCGCCTGCCTGGCAAGCGCAAGGTCGTGAGTTCGGTTCCCGGCACCGGAGAAAAAGCAAAAAGCAAAAAAAAAAAGAAGTATGGCCATTTTCACTATATTGGTTCTGCCGATCCAAGAACAGGGGATATATTTCCATTTTTCTGATATCTTCTTCAATTTCCTTTTGCAGAGTATGGTGATACTTTGGTTCATGAACTTAATTTGTTTCACAAGGCAAAGATGACCCCACTTGTGTTTGTCACCTAAATCAGAATTAGTAAACAGAAACAAAGTTTTGCCAAACACTTCTGTTTGCAAACCAAATTGTTTACAAACAAAAGGAATCATGAACTGAGGTAACACTCTGCAGTAGTTTTCAATGTAAAGTCCTTTCACTTCCTTTGTTAGATTAATTCCTAGGTATTTCATTTTTCTTGATGCTATTGTGAAGGTGGTATTTCCCTATCTTGTCTCTTAGTTTATTTTTGTGTACAGGAATGGTATTGATTTTTGAATACTGATTTTGTATCTTGCTATGCTGCCAAATTTGGTTATTAATTCTGGGAGTCTTTCCATGAAATTTTTTGTTTTTCTATGTAGCATATCATGTCATCTGCAATTAATGCTAATTTAGCTTCTTCCCTTCCTGTCCATATTCCTTTTATTTCTTTCTCTTGTCTAATTGCTCTGGCTAATGTTTCCAGAACTATATTGAACAGGAGTAGTGATAGTGGGCATCCTCGTCTTGTTCCTGATTTACAGTGAAAGCTTTCACTTTTGATCATTTACATGATTTGATCATGTTGGCTTCGGTTTGTCATAGATGGCTTTTATCAGATTAAGGTCCTTCCATTCCAATTTTCTGGAGGGATTCTTATGTATGGGTGTTGGACTTTGTCACATGCTTTTTCTGCATCTATTGAGACGATCATGTAGTTTTTGTCCTTGGTTCTGTCCTTACGGTGTTGCTACATTTATTGATTTGTGTGTGTGGAACAAACCCTGCATCCCTGGGGTGCATCTTACTTGGTCATAGTATATAATCTTCTTGATGATTGAGGATTTTTGCATCTGTATTCAGAAAAGAGATTGGCCTGTAGTTCTCTGCTTTGCTTGGATCCTTCTCTAGTTTTGGTATCAGGGTAATGCTTGCTTCCAGGAATGACTTTGGGAATATTCTTTAATTTTGTTAACTGGTATTGGATAGTTTAGAGTTTTTATATCTTCTTGATTCAGCTTTGGTAACTCCTGTGTATCTAGGAACCTGTCCATTTCTCCTGAATTTTCCATCTCATTAGAGTATATGCTGTCAAAGTAGGTCTTTGATCTTCTGGATTTCTGCAGGATCTGTTGTGATTTCACCCTTTTCATTCCTCATTGCATTGATTTGAGTCTTGTCTTTCCTTTTTTTGATAAGGTGGTGTTATTAGTAATAAGGGTTTGTCTTATTTAATCTTTCAAAGGACCAACTTTTCGATACATTGATCCTTTCAATCCTTCTGCCTCAGCCTCCCAAGTGCTGGGATTACAGGCATGTGGTACCATGCCTGGCCTTGTATTGTTCTCTTAGTCTCAATTGCATTAATTTCTGCTCTGATCTTTATAATTTCCTCCCTCATACAGTCTTTGGGTTTAGCTTCTTGTTCTAGAATTTGGAGGTGTATGTGCGCATACATTGCAGGTTGGGTAGCAGCTTGTTAACGAGGTTTTACAGGAGTTTCAGGCAGCTGTTGAAGGAGATGTTTAAGGGCTGTCCTGATTTTTTTTTTTTATGTTATCATCAGTCTTTTTGTTCAAATCTGAAAGAAACAGAGTGCTCACTTTTAATTATGTTGATTAAACCATTGTTTTATTTCAGTGAAGAAAATATTTGGAAGCTCTGTGAATACATCAAAAACCATGACCAGTATCCTTTGGAAGAATGTTACGCCGTCTTCATATCAAATGAGAAGAAGATGGTAAGTTGGTGAGGGATTGCTGGAAGGAAATAAGTTTAGGATTGCCAGGTGTGGTGCATACCTGTAATCCCAGCATTGGGTAGTCTGAGGCAGGAGAATCGTTAAGAGTTTGAGACCAGCCTGGGCTACAAAAGTGAGCTCAAAGCCAGCATGAACTACATAGGGATACCCTATCTCAAAAAGACAAAAAAAGAAGTTTAGGATTACCTTAGAAGCTAAATCTGGCATAGGCTAGTGCTGTTGTAAACTGTACCTTTTGAATGTAGCCACATTGTAAAGTTAGTTTTTTGTTTGTTTTGTTCTTTGTCTTTTTGAGACAGGGTCTTAATGCATTAGATTATCCCTTAGTTATTGTGGACTGATCAGGCCTGCAATCTCCCAAATGAGTGTACAGCAAAGGCTTAAATAAATGAGCCAAGTGGTATGATTTTAGGGCTCCAGGTAGATCAAAACCCTCTAACAGAATCTGAGATTCTTTGGGGGCTAAGACAAAGATCTGGGCTGGGGATATAGCTCAGCAGCATAGTGCCTACCTGGCACACGTGAGGTTGTGAGTTCATTCCCAGTGCCAAAAAAAAAGAAAGACAAAGATCTTCTCGCCTATATTTATTTAGTTATCAAAACAAGGAAGGGGAATACTGAAGAAAGTCGGGAATCTGAACAGGACCCTCCAAGGACCTCGGAAGTCTGCTCAAGGGCTTCTTCAAGTAAGACGTTATGTTAATTTAGGAGAACTATGTTATCTCCAAGGTGGAGTGAGATGCCTGCAGGTACAGTCTTTACCTAGTTAACTGAGGTTGTAGCCAGGTGTCCTTACTGTGGCCTTGTCTTGTTCTTTGAGGCACCATGGCTTCACCTACCATTATAGGCCTCAGTAGGGACCAGTGACTCACAGAGGTACACTTAATATGAGTCTGTTGCCCATCTCCAGATGAAGGGCCTAAGCCTTTGACAGACTCACAAGTAAACATGGAAAGCCAATTGGTTAATTTAAATCCTGCTCAGAGCCACTATGTAGTAGTCTGTATCAGTGTCTTGCTATGTAGTTCAGGCTGGCCTCAACTCATGATGGTGATCCTCCTGCCTCAGCCTCCCAAGTGCTGGGATTACAGGTGTGCACTGCCATGCCTGGCTAGTTAGTTTTTGAATGAGGTATTTTCCTTAATAGGGCCCAGTTGAGTTAGAAATATTTAGTACTTTATTTGTAGACTTATAGGTAAGAGACTGTATTTAAGAGACTATGGGATGTTTATATATCTCTTAGGTATGAAAGAGCTTTTTTTTTCTTTGTGCTGTACTGGAGATTGAACCCAGAGGTGCTCTACCCCTGAGCTATATCCCTGGTCCTTCTGTATGTTTTGTTTTGAGATGGGGTCTCATTGCATAGGCTGGCCTGGAACTTGCAGTCCTCCTGCCTTAGCCTCTTAACTAGCTAGAATTACAGGTTTATGCCACCACACCAGATTTAATTTATGTTCTTATGAGCACTCGTTGTTGAGAATTCTTATACTGAGAAGGATTTGGATTTCTTATTCATTCTTTTACCATGGTTGTTAGCTGATTAGAAAGATTGTGTTTCTCATTCGTGTGTTGCACTGAAGTGTCTAGGAGTGGCTAACTGTGGCTTGTGGGATGCCCTGTGTTCCATAGGTGCCCATCTGGAAGCAGCAGGCGAGACCTGGAAACGGGCCCGTGATCTGGGTAAGATGCCCCTCTGCATGGGTGCTCCCCACCCGCTGCTTCTGTGACCTCTGAGGCTTGTGGGCATTGGTGAGGCAGAATCATTAGGGGTGGTAATCATTAATGGCAATCATTAATAAGTGGATCTTTTGAGAAGTACTGGCGTATTTTCTTGTCTTTTATTTATTTATTTTTTTACCACCCTGGAAATTGAGCCCAAGGCCTACACCCCAGCTAGTGTTTGGTTTTTTATTTTGAGATGAGGTCTCTCCAAATTATGACTCAAACGTGCAGTCCTCCTGCCGCACTCTCCAGAGTACTGGGATCAGATGTTTGCCCTGCTTCTTTTAAGTTTTTATTTTGGTATTATTATAGGAATTATTTTATTTTTATTTTTTTATTTATTTTGGTTTTTCTCCGGTACCAGGAACCAAACTCATGACCTTGCGCATACCAGGCAGGCGCTTTTGCCGCTGAGCTAAATCCCCAGCCCCTTATAGGAATGATTTTAAATGGCCAGTATGGGAGATATATTTGTGATCTTCAGGACTCTTCGTTTATGTTATTTTTAGTTTTTGAGACAAGGTCTTGTTATGTAGTTCAGGCTGGTCTTAAACTCACTATATAGTCCAAGCTGGCCTTGAACTCTCAGTGATCCTCCTGCCTCAGCCTCCTGAGTGCTGGGGTTACAGGTGTGTGCTCCCATATCCAGCTTTTTCACGTAGCCTATGTTTATTGAGTGCCTTTTATATGCCAGACACAAGATGGACTAAAACCCTGGGCTTGCACTGCTTTTGGATCCTATGCCCCCATCTGCTCTAACATCAAGCCTCAGCCCAGCCTCTGGGGACCTGGACCAGGGGTTGAAGTCCTCCCTCTGGTCAGCTGTGTGACTGGACAGGTTGTCTGGGTTGTGAGGCTCAGATGAGGTAACGCAGGGGAAGTTTACTTGGGTTGGTGTCTGGTACTCAGGAAGGCCGAGCTGTGTTTGGCAGCGCTGCAAACCCTGATGCAGACTGCTCCATTGCTAAACCACTAGGCTGAGCCCCGGGTGTGGTCTCGTTCTGCTGGATGCAGGGAAAGGACCTGTGGTTACTGCCCCATGAGCCACACCCCACAGCCGCATGGAGGATCCTGCTGCAGTTCATCTCCCCACCTGCCGCCATGCTGAATGGGAAGAGGCAGAGCCCCAAGCACAGGCCCCTGCAGCTGTGCTTTGCTCCCCAGCCCAGACAGCCTTCTCTGGGCAGCCGAGTGAACACAGAGCCCTCTGAGGGAGGCCAAACTCACTTTGTAGTCCAGGCTGTCTTGAACTCGCAACCGTCCTCCTGCCTCAGCCTCCCAAGTGCTGGGATTACAGGCGTGCACCACCACACCTGGTTTAAATTTCTTTTCTTTTTTTTTTTTTTTGGTGCTGAGAATCAAACTCAGGACCTTGCACTTGCCAGGCAGGTGCTGTACCTCCGAGCTGTTTCCCCGGCCTTGCGGTGTGTCAGTCTTGTGTCGATATCTGTGCACCAATACTGGCACCCTGGGGTTTCATCGTCCTAGAGCAGCTTGGTTAACCAGCCACTTTTACTTTCAGGATTACCATGTTGTTCTGCTCCATGTTTCAAGTGGAGGACAGAGTTTCATTTATGATCTTGATACTGTGTTGTCATTTCCCTGCCCCTTTGACACATATGTAGAAGATGCCTTGAAGTCTGATGACGACATTCATCCACAGTTCAGGAGGTGAGGACATTCAGGATGGATTTATTGGTAGGCACAGAGGTTCTTCCCTTTCTTATTTTTTTAATAGTGGGACTCGAACTCAGGGCCTTGCACTTACCAGGCAGGGCTTGTTCCACTGAGCTACATCCCCGGCCCGGTTCGTCCCTGTCATGTTGAATTTTCTTTGTCTTTTTGACACAGGGTCTTGCTATGCAGTTCAGGCTGGCCTTGAGCTCACTTTGTAGCCCAGGCTGGCCTCGAACTCACAGCAGTCCTCCTGCCGCCTCCCAAGTGCTGGGGTTAGAGGCGTGTGCCACCACGTCTGGCTTCCCATGGCTTTTTTTCTTTCTTTCTTTCTTTTTTTTTTGGTACTGGGAATCAAAATCAGGACCTTGTGCTTGCCAGGCAGGCGCTTATGCCACTGAGCTATATCCCCAGCCCCCCATAGCTTTTTACATAGGTGCAAAGCTATACATATATCTCTGCACTGTGAAAGTAAAAAATATACATGAGTAGGTTTGTGTATGCCGTGGAAAATGAATCCATATAAAAACTGAGTTAGAATTTCACATGTGACACTTACCTAATGGACTGTGTTTTGACCCATCTACAGGAAATTTAGAGTGATTCGTGCTGATTGCTATTTGAAGAACTTTGCTTCTGACCGGTCTCACATGAAAGACTCCAGTGGGAACTGGAGGGAGGCGCCCCCACCCTATCCCTGCATTGAAACCGGAGGTGAGGGGGGAGGCTGCTCGGGGTCTGTGATCCATCACTGCTGCTCGGCTGTCCCCTAAGCAGGAACAATTAGCTCTTTGTTTGGATTATTATTATTACTTTCGATGGCAGTGGTGATTGAACCTAGGGCCCTGCACATGCCAGAGAAGCACTGTACCACTGAGCTACACCCTTGGGCTTTTTAATCTGGAAAATTTAAATCTTTTTTTTTTTTTTTTTTTCTTTTGTCCTTACGAGACAGGGTCTCGCTATGCAGTTCAGGCTGGCCTTGAGCTCACTATGTAGCCCAGGCCGGCCTCAAACTCACAACGATCTTCCTGCCTTATCCTCCTGAGTGCTGGGATTACAGGCTGCACCACCACGCCATCTAGAAAATTTAAATCTTGTATAAGAGCAGACATATTATGTAACAGACTTCTAACACCTTGTTTGAAGCTCATGATTGGTTGATTTGTTATACCCCAACTACTTTGTCCCCTCCCACAAACTTGGAAGTGAATCTGAGACAGTGTGTACTTTACCTCTTGCTCTTTCCGCCATCTTTCCGTGCTGCCATAGTGGTGTGCGTGACTGTCCTGGCCGCACTCTCAGCATCAACAGTGCCGGAAAGAGAGGCAAATGCCGGGTCCTTACTAGGCTGTGCTGCAGACTCATCGTCTGGTCTCTAACCGTGATGACGAAGCACGGCTACATTGGCAAATTTGAAATCACTGATGAGCACTGCGCTGGAAAAAATTGCTGTGAACCTCACAGGCACCTTAAACAAGTGGTCAGCCCCAGCTTTGAGGTGCAGTCGAAAGGCCTGGAAAAATGGCAGAATAACCTGCTCCCGTCTGTCAGTTTGGTTTCATTGTATCTACAACCTCAGCTGCGTGGACCACAAAGAAGCAGGACGAAAACATGCAGGAAGGAAAATTCTGAGGTTCTTTTTTAGGGATATAAAACATACAAATGAAATGCCTCAATGGAAAAAACAAAACATTATATATATATTTTAAAAAATAAGCCACAATGCCATTGTTGCATCTAGAGAAATGCACAATAATTCTTTAAAGTCGTCATATGTCTATGTAGTCAGTGTTCACATTTACAGTTATCTCATAAAGCCATAATCTTTTTCTCCCAGTTTGTTTGAATGAAGATCCAAGTGAAGTCTCTATAGTGTTTGCCCAAAGTGTTTCTTAAGAGTCTTTTTTAATTTTATTTTTATTTTTTTGCCTTTTTGAGACAGGATCTCACTATGCAGTTCAAGCTGGCCTTGAACTCACTTTGTAGCCGAGGCTGGCCTTGAACTCATGGCAGTCCTCCTGTCTCAGCCTCCCAAGTGCTGGGATTACATGTACCACCACACCTGGCCAAGAATCTTTTTTTTTTTTGTGTGTGTGTGTGGTACCGGGGATTGAACTCATGACCTCAGACTTGCTAGGCAGGCGCTGTACTGCTGAGCTGTATCCTCGGCCCAAGAGACTTTTTTTAATGTACAGATTCTTTATCTAGTTCTTTCTTTGTTAATTTGTTGGACAACCTGGGTCTTCGGGTAACAGATTGCATTTTGCAGATTATATCTTTATTGTATCCTCTGAATTTCCTGTGATTTGGCTGTTGAAGCCAGTAAATTAGCAGTTTGATTATTTGTGCCTTTTCGTACTTAGCTTTTTATTTTGAAAATTTTAGATTTCTGGAAAATTTGCTAAGCATGACAGAGTTTCTGTTTCACTCAGTTCCCTTACTGCTACATCTTAAATAAGTGACACCAAATATTGATGTGTTATGATATAAAACTAGTAACTTTCAGTCTTCGTTTACATTTTGCAAGTTTCCTGACTAGTTTCTTTTTTCTAGAACAGAGTCTAACGGAGGGATGTCACATAGCTGGTTGTGTCTCCTCCAGTCAGTGATAATTCTGTTCTGTTTTTCTTTACAAGCTTTGTACTTGTGAAGACCACTGGTCAGTGGTTTTGTGGAACACCCCTCAGTTTAGCTTTGTGTGATGTGTTGCTGTGATTAGATGGATGTGCATTCGAGGCAAGGGAACCACGGAAGTGACCTTGAACCATTACCTGTTTGAATAATTTCCCCTAATTTTAGTCTTCTGTGTTGCTTCACTGCTATGAAACCAAAGTTGTGTTTTCAGAACACGTTTCTTTTATGTATCTTTCTAGACTGTAAAATGAACCTGAACGACTTCATCAGCATGGATCCTGAGGTCGGGTGGGGAGCTGTCTACACACTTCCTGAATTTGCACATCGGTTTAGCAGTAAAAGCTACTGAATGGGGCATCTGGATGTGGGACTGTGGAGAACCCCAGGACACGAAGAAGCCATCCTATCCTTTAGGACAGCAAACATGGTACGGTTAGCTTAGCGTTACTTTTTCTGTTTTAATTCAGTGGAGTAGAAACATGGATGAGCACAAATACAAGTGAACAAAATGAACTATTTTGGGCTGGGGTGGAATGCATGTGTAGCATGTGTGAGGCCCTGGGTTCCATCCCAGCACCACAGATAAAAGAAGGCCTTTCCTTCGGTGTGTCAAGTGGAAACTTGGCATGGCGTGTAGCTGCTCTTACGTTAACACATGTGACAGGGGGTGCTGGCATTGCTATATCCAGACAGAGATGTCTCTTCTGCATGTTTCCTGTTCCTCTAGCCACACTGTAAGTCCGTTTTGGGCAAGGCTGTGGCTTACAGACAGGTGAACCTCAGATGTGCCCATCAAAGTTGCCCATACAATATTTCTAGAGACAGCACCGCTGCTTGGAAGGGATTACATTGTGTGCTGAATCAGCAATAAATATTAGTCTTTTTGGACTACAATGTTGTTAATGATTGCATTTCTCTCAGGCTGAGTGATATTTGGCCTACTTATAAGTGATTTTTTGAAAAATACATTTAAAGTTTATTCTGTTGAAGGTTTTGTGTTGTTCTTCATGATCCTAAGACTGTCCCAGTCCTGTATGAGAACTGTCTATGTGCTTTTTAAAAATGTGATTTAAAACACATTTGTCATGTCTGCCTTCTTGGAAAATTGGCTTTAATCATACAATTCCAAATAAAAGATATTTGGCTTTAGTATTGGTTCTCATTCATTCTTCATGGTTTTACTCCATGCCTTAGTTACTTATCACTGAGACATGCTACTTGACACTCACAGCTCTGAGGAGAGGTTTACTTGGGTCACAGTTTGTAGAGGTCAGTCCAGAGTGAGCTGGCTCCAAGGCAGGGTGGCAGAGGAGAAAGAGTTCAGGGAATGGCAGGCAGGAGGCAGAGAGGGATCAAGTGGGGAGGAGAGATATAGACCCTTCCAGGCCATGCCCACAGTTACCACCTCTTCCCAACAGGCTTCGACTCCTAGCATCATACACAGCTATAAATCTACCAGTGGACGAACCCAACTGATGAGTATCACACACCTGCGATCCCGTCACCTCCCCAAGCCCCACCTATGCTTTGTACATCTAGACATAAACCATTACACTGCAAAAACAGTAACTTCTTATAGCAAGGCTATCCAAGCTCTCGTTCTTAGATGAGTTTTCTATCCTTTCTCTCTCTCTGTCTTTCCTTTCCTCTCCTCTCCTCTCCTCTTCCTCACCTCCCTTCCTCTTCCCTCCTGCCCCCTCCCCTCTTCTCCTTTCCTTTCCTTTTCTTGGTACTGGGGATTGAACTTGGCTTCTTGCTTGGTAGGCAAGTGCTCTACCATAGAGCCAAACCCCCAGCCCATTTTCTGCTTCTTTTTTTTGGTACCAGGAATCAAACTCAGGACAAGCAGGTGCTTGGGCAGCTGGGCTATATCCTTGGCCCTCGTTTTCTGCTTCTTAAGAAGCTTTCATTTAGTATGTACCCTGTGCCCTCTGATGTAGAGGGCACCACTGTAACTAATTACTTGAGGATCAGCTAGTCACTAACTGGCTTGCTCAGCTCACCAGGAAGATTCTGGGAGAACACAGGTGAACTTCTGTGTAAGCAGAATATAGGTACAGCCTCTTAAGTTATTAGATCACTAAAGCTAAAAAAGGATCTCACACTTACATATCTTCACTGAGTTTCAGAAGGCCGATTGAAATGTTAATGGCTTAAAACAAAGACAATGAAATTTGGCAGGCTGAATGCTGGAAATACTTTTCCCTGAGCAGAAAGTGTCAGAGGGACCAAAGGATTGTAGTCTGATTTACGGATTGCATTTCTGGAGGTTTTTATTGGCCTGTTTTGTGAATATGCTTCTGATCTGATATTGAGAAGTACATCTAGTACAGACAGATCAGATAGTGTCTTTGTGAGGTAGAATTCTTAAACAGATGTCTCTTTGGACTTTCCAGCCAGGTTTTACAGTTTCAAGCCAGTTACAGTGTCCCAAGGAGCTAAGTGTAGTGGGAACGGAGACTTAGGCAAGGAGGAGGCAGCCTGGGCAACTTAGAGATGTGGTAAGACCCTGACCCAGGATGTAAAAAGAAAAAAAAGGCTGCGGATGTAACTGAGTGTGAAAGCCTGGAGTTCAGTCCCCAGTGCCTTGGGGAAAAGGTCCCATGGTCATAATCATGACTTATTAGAGCAGCAGAGCCCCCACCCCACTTACTGGGTATTGACCCCAGGGATGCTGTATCACTGAGCTATGTCCCCAGCCCCAGCCCCCTTTTTGGGATAGGGTCTTGCTGAGTTACCCAGGTAGGCCTTGAACTTGTGCTCCTATCTTAGCTCCCTGCAGTGCTAGGATTACAGGCCGGCACCAGGACACCTGAGTTTTCTCTAGCAGTGCTCCTGTGGTGCCCTTGGAGATTCTGCATGCACATCTCCTGTAGTTTTCCTGTGTATGAGCAAATCACCTAAACCCATCTGGACTGGAGCCCCTCGCCAGGACAGGTCTGCAGTGACTGGCAGCATGTTCCCTGGACTGCCTGCTGCTGTTCAGAGATGAGCAATCGCCTCCTTGGTGTTGCTAAGCTGGAGTCCCCAGCTTTGGGAGGCTGCAGTGGGCATTCCAATCATCACAGGGAGAGTCCTGACCACTGCACAGAAGAGAGAGTGCCGCAAGAACCCCAGGGGCAGCCGTTCCTCAGCCCTGGGTCAACCTGTGCCTGAAGCCAGCCTCCGCTTCTGAACTTGGCACATCTCTGAACCAGTGGACTCCTTTCCCCTCCAGCTTGTATGACTTGGATGTCTGTCAGTTTGAACGGAAAGTTGCCTTTATAAGCCTTTTTTCCTTCAAAGTTGTTTTCCAGGCTTAGGAACTGTTCTTTGTGTCTTCCTGTGCTTAATTTTTCTTTGAGGTTGGATTTGCTTTTTATATTCAACATGTGTGAGAGAAGTGAACACCATCTATTTGGAAGGAAGAGCATTCCAGAAAAGCAGAGAGTAGAAACAGGATTTGTAAATTGACTGTGAAATTAAGAGAAATAAGGTATTTGAGATTCACCAGTAGGGAAGCAAACACAGAAGCCCGCGGAGGCTCTCAGGTCAGTAGAACTGGCTGTTCCTGATTGGAAATGTTAGCATAGCATCTATGGCTTATATCTAAGCTGTCCCTAAAGTGCTGTAATGATTGATACATTGTGTCAACTCGAGAACTAAGAAGTGTAGAAGCTTAACTAAGTGACTCAGCAGGGACCAGGGTCCTCACTGTGTAAACATCCTGAGCTTGTGGAAGAGGAGGGCACGGAGATGGTTTAGGCATGGGTGGAGAGGTGGTGTACTGCATAAGGGAGGAAAAGAGACTTGCCCTCCCCCTCTCCCTTTTTCTCTTGTTGCTTTTGCTGTTTTCTGCCACCTTGAAGTGTTTCCCCTCACCATGCCACTCTGCCTTTGAGCCAGCTGATTACGGACCAAAAACTCCACACGATTAAAATCAGCCATCTGATACAGAGTGAAACCTCCACAACCCCCATAAATTGAGCTAAATAAACCTTTCCTACCTCAATTTGGGGTGTTGGGTATTTTGTCTCAGCATAGAGAGAAAAGTAACCAAGATGTGCTCACAGGTGTAGCTTCTCAGAGCTGGCTGGATCATGGGTGTGTGGTGATGAGATGAAGGGTATATGGTACTAAATTAGTTCACTGATTGGTTTAGCCTAGTTCTGGGTGTGCTGAATGGATTTAGTGAAGACAGAAGCCCCACTCTGGGTGTGTGCGCCACCAACCAATAGGCTTGTAGCCTGGATGGAATGAAAAGGCAAAGGGAGGCTGTCTGCTTCCTGCCTGCCCTGCCATGAACTGTTTCTCCTCTGCAATGCCGCCCTGCCTTGGAGCCAGCCAACCATGGACTGAACCCTCCACAAAGTGTGAACTGAAACTTTTCCTCTAATTTGTGGGTGTTGGGTATTTTGTTCCACGAGTAAGAAAGTAACTAAGACAAAATACCTTTTAAGAAAATTGGCTTTTGGAAGATGGGTTGGTTGGCAGCAGTAACAAAGACAACCTTTTTTTACCTTCTTAGGCATCCTTTTTTGTGTATATGGTTCTGCTCAGTTTATTTTTTGCAGTACTGGGGATGGGATGCATCCCTGTGTTTAATTTTTACTTAATTCATTAAAAAAAAATAGGTGGTATATGTAAGTTGTCTAATTTCAAAATACATAAAAGAGTGAAAAGTAAATTTGCTTCCCTTTTTTTGTCCAGGTTTCTGATGTCCCTAGCCGGAGACAGCCTCTTTTTCAGTTTATTTCATATCCTTTCAGGGATTCTCTGTGTCCACAGAAGCCTATAGGTACTACATAGCAAATACTACATTTTGTTTTCCCCTCCAGTGGTAGCATGGCCTCCAGGCCTTGCCATCTAGTGTGGTCCTGTCTGGTGTCCCCTTCCCTCCGGGTAACTTTCAGGGACTGGTTTGTATGTCCTGTTCTCACTTTCTCTTGGAGTTGGTACAGGAGCACAGGGCCTTGCACACATTCTTAGCTCTCTGCCATGTTACATTTTTTTCTCATCTAGCAGAGATGGCCTTGAGGCCCGTCGGACAGGCTGGCCATGCCTGAGACTCTGTGCCTGTTGCTGCTGCCCAGTCTTGTTCTGCCCGGTCTGAGTGGACTCAGTGTGTCGGATGCCAGTGCAGATGTGGGACACACTTCTGCTGCTGGCTGAAATGCCTGAAGGAAGGCATGGCGCTGCTGTGTTCCTGTCTGGTTGGATGGAACCAAAAATAGAGTGTAGCCTGCTGGGTACACAGCTTGGGCTCCTGAAAGGGGTCTTAATGCTTGGCCCTGGCAGTACATTTTGCTGCAGAAAGAATCCACAGTTTTTGTTATTTCTCAGATAATTTAACTTACTATTTGTCTTTTTGAGGACCCATATGTTAGATGTGGGGAGTCAAAGCCAACCAAGTCCCTGCTTCTAGACTACCAGTGGAGACTGAATTCAGCCCACTGTGCAGTGTTTTCTCCTCAAACCACCCGGAGTGCTCTTGTAAACATCATAAATCAAATTGTCTTTTTCTTTTAAAAATGAACATAAAGTCCAGGGAGGCACACCTACCTGTGACCCTACCACCTTGGGAGAAGGGTCTCAAATTGGAGCCTGCGTGGGCAGTTCAACAACTTAGTGAGACCCTGTCTCAGAATAAAAAATAAAACGGGCTGGGGAGGTAACTCTGTGCAAAGGCCCTGGGTTCAGTCTGCAGCACCACAACCACAAGCCACCACCACTTCTAAATGGGTTCAACGTATCCTTAAGCTAAAATCCCCTGTCCTTAGCATGGCCGTGGCCCTGTGTGGTCGGGACAGGTGCCCCTGTGATTTCCACTGCACACTCCTGGCCTGTGCCCAGCCTGCTCCTCCCTCAGGGGTTCTGTTCCTGAGCAGGACGAGCCTGTCCCTTCCTTGGGGGCCTAATTCTGCTGATCTGGACGGGGCCCTTTGCTTTGTTTCTTCTGGCTGGCGTCCCTTAGTGTTTAGGTCCTGTGCCCCAGCTCATGGCCTATGACCTTTTGTTCTTTACAGCAGCTGTCACCAACTGAAATGCTCTTGTGTATCTATTTGCTGAAAAGTCTGTTTTCCGTCTCCTTCACGAGACTGAGTTCTCTCTGCCTCCTTCTCCCCGTGGTGCTGGTGTCTGGCGCGGTGTCTGAGGGTGTGGTTGGCACTC